TGTTCTTTGACAAACATGGATGCCTCCAGTAAAGCACATTCAGATGAAAATTACTCTTAATCGAGAATACTTATCATTTATTGAACAGCATGCGATAATTTCATATTTAAAGTACTTTCAGAATTTTGAACTCTGAATTTGACCAGACTTTTCCTTTAAAACAAGCTTGCTATCATTAAGTGAAGTCACAGCTGATGGAGTAGCCAGATATTTTACTCATGTAAGAGAAGAAAGTACAATGGAGGAGTGGCGGCCTAGTAGTTAGAGCATAGAGCTTGGAATCCTGAGGTTCTGAGTTTGAGCCCCACTCCCACAGACTGCTACTCTGGTTTCCTGAGCAAAAAACCATTAACCCCACACTGCTTCCCGAGGGGATGGGTTAAATGCAGAGGTAAATTTCTCCAATGTGAGATCATCCATCCATCCACTGACACTCTTGTCCTGAGTGGGGTCACAAGGGGTGCTGGAGTCTATCTCCAGCAGTCAATGGGTGAGAGGCAGGGTCCACCCTGGACAGGTTTCCAGTCCATCACAGGGCAACACAGAGACACACAGGACAAACATCCATTTATGCACACACTCACAGCTAAGGACAATTTAGAGAAGCCAATTAACCTAACAGTCATGTTTTTGGACTGTGGGAGGAAGCCGGAGTACCCGGAGAGAACCCATGCATGCTCAAGGAGAACATGCAAAGTCCACGCAGAAAGACCCTGGGCCAGGAATCAAACCCAGAACCTTCTTGCTGCAAGGTAGCAGTGCTACCCACTGTTCCACTGAGCAGTCCAACAATGTGAGATCAATAAAGTTCAATTATTATTATTAATGATGTAGAAACTACTCCTTAAAGTACTATTTTCAAAAACTGAGTAAATGAAAAGCTAGCTACTACCCACATCTATTATCCTGATCTCCTGGTTATTACAACAGAAAAATGCGCTTAAATCGGAAAACTAAAGACTTCTTCTGAGTTTTTTTGGAAACGTTTCAGCATTTATTCAGAATTTGTTGTCAGTTTTGGCAGCTCACTCTACCATTTTATTATATCGATTGTGGAGATATTTATTATTTTCTTTTTGTGTTAAAGTTTGTTTAAATGATAATAGTTTGCTTATTTTAGAAAAAATGCTATTGTTTTCTATTAAAGGGGAATGCTGTTTTTTTTTCCATTGGTCCCTTGATTTTATGTTATTCCATCATGTTCTACTCACACATATGAGTTTTGTGTCATTTGGAGCCGTTCTGAAGATATTCCGTTAGGTTATATCCAAGTAACGTCTTCCTATGGGCAACGACTTGAAGGTACAAACTAAACTGTTCATAAATAATAATTTATGGTATGCCAGCATTCATAACATGTAGGCCAATCAGAGTAGGTTTTGTACTGCTCAGTGGGTAGCACTGCTGCCTAGCTGCAGTAAGGTTCTGGGTTTTTTTGGTTTTTGTTTTACAATGTCCTGTCTGGCAAGGTGGCAATAAGAATAATTGTCTTGATGCCAAAAGGAGCTCAACAGATTTTACTTTCACAAGTATAGTGGTATGGCAATTGCCATACCGCTCCACTTGTTTCATGCATATAAATTGCTTTATTATAATTATGCAGGGAGTTTTACAGTTTATATGGACACTGCAATGTAAGTAGAGCAGTAAAACAGAAGAAGAAAAAGAAAAAAAAAGGACAAAAGATGAAAGAAAGAGGAGATAGAAAGGAGACAATGACAAAACATTTTCAGTCTGCTTCATCACCTGTAACGAGATGAAAAAAGAACAGCACAACCAAGAGACATGGTACGAGATATACAATAAAGCAACACCTTGAAACTATCGCTAAAATAATATTATTAAGTCTGACATGTACTCTGTGTTACCTGAAGATATGAGTGTGGGCTTTCTGTTTGGAAGTGAATCTCTAAGTACCTGAAGCCTAGCACCTGTAGTTGTTTGTGAGGGTGAACTTGTGCATGTAAAGTTTTAACCATAGAAAAAAAGCTCAATAGTGGTTGTGGAGAGCCGGAGAGGCACACCCCCCAGAGTCCAGCGCCGGGAGAACCAAAGCCCCAGGCGCCCAAAGGGTCCCCAGAAGCGAAGGCACCAAGGCGGGGCCAGCCCCGGAAATCAGACCCCCACCAAGATTCTGGGTTTAATTCCCCGCCCAGGGTCTTTCTGCGTGGAGTTTGCATGTTCTCCCTATGCATGTGTGGGTTCTCTCCGGGTACTCCGGCTTCCTCCCACAGTCCAAAAACATGACTGTTAGGTTAAACTGGATTCTCTAATGTGTCCTTAGGTGTGTGAATGGATGTGTGAGTCTTTGTTGCATTTCAATGGACTGGCAACCTGTCCAGTTTCTACCCTGCCACTCGCCCTTAGACAGCTGGAGATAAGGACCAGCACCACTTATGACCCCAGCTGTGATAAAACGTGATGGAAAAGGGATGGATGGATGAATTACCAAAATAAGCTGCATTCTATGGGATGGAAATGTTCATTTCACTGCTAAGCTGTTGGTCATTTACTGTCTGAAAGCTGTACAAAATGTCGCATTGTATAAACTCTGTGTATACAAAATAATAATTAAAGTTGTTTAAGTCAAAGCATTGCATATCTCTAATTTGCACATTAAGTAAGTAAAAGTAGTTTTTGTTTATTATCTGCCGTTGCTAAAGTCTGTCACATTACATGCCTGCTGCTAAATGCAAATGATTTTACATCATCTTCATTTTAAACAGCATTTTTCATGAACTGCAGCACATCAGATACTAAAGCTGCTAAATCCCTGTCGTTTCATTTAATCTGTATGTTTACGGCCACAGCATTCCCTTCAGCACTTGTGGGGTACAAGCATTATTCAAAAATAAAATCTAAAAGATTTTCATCACCAAACACCATTAGAGGAGAGCAAAAACATGGATATATTTTGGGAATTCAACTCAATTAATCCTTTAAAACATGCTGCTGTTTACTGTCCTCCATCTGCTCTCCTCCTCTCCCTCGTTTTATGACTTCAGCTCCTTCTCCTCAGGGCAGGACTCATCAAACATTAATCTGCAGCGACGGGCTCTGATCGGCAAACAAGTGTTTCTTCATGAAAGCAAATGTCACAGGAACCTTTTAAAGGTTCTAATTCAGTCACTTGAGGGAAGCTACAGGTGATTTTAGTGATTAGGATGGTCTCTGTCTCCCTCCACCTCTCTCCTTTCAGATTGGACACTGGTGCCATCATGTGGCTGGCACAGCTCTTAACAAAGCACTCTTTTATGAAACTCTTTGGCTTTTTATTGATTTTATCAATATAAAGACTTTAAAATGTTACAAAATATATTTAAAATCAGCTTTTTAAGAAATGAATGTAAACTGTACTCGTTACAGAGTCTTTCTGCAGATGTTTTCATGTGTCTCAGGCAGAGACCGTCTGCAGCTTCAGTCTCTATGTTCCTCATCTGTGTTGCCATTTTTAATGGGAAACTCCAGCGAGGTCCTGTAGCGGATGGGCACCTGCTTCTCCTCACCGATAGGCTGCTTGGCCACAGGGGCATGAATCCGAAGCTGCCCATCATCCATCAGGGAGCAGGACAGCCCAGACAGGTCCAGGTGATCAGGAAAATCTATTCTCTGCATGAAGCCCATCTGGGACGACGCTGAGGAGGAGAAGGAAGCAGAGGAGGAGGAGGAGGAGCAGGACTGGCTCTCCTCTGCTCCGGCCTGCTTCATTGCCACAACCGCCAGACTTCGCCCCTCTAGTTTGACTGTGATGTCCCCCGGAGCGTAACCGCGGGCGTCTAAGGTCACAAGAAGATCGTTTTTGTCGCTGGTCTGTTCCGTGTTTTTGTTTAGATCTGTGGTGACCACCTCTGTCCTCTTCTCTCTGTCTTTGTTTAGTCTACGAGAATAAGAACATCTGGAATATATTTGTGTCTGCTCAAACATCTACCAGTCTGCACACATGTAGGATAAGACCAATCGCTAACAGTCTCAAATCTTGTACCCACCTTTTCAGTGTGGATGAAATGACAGGAAACTGGGCGAGTGTGAGCAGCTGTGATCCATCATGGACATCTCTGAGGAGGCTTTCAGCCAGCTTTCCTCTCCGACCAAAGAAGTTCTGCTGCAGAGAGGACAGGGCTTCATCACACAGTGGCCAAAGCATCCCCTCCTGGCTCAGAAAAGGCTCATCAGCAAACAGGCTGCTTAAAGCTGAATGGTGGGACACCATTACTGTGCTGCAAAACACTTCCTGGTTTTAGTTTAATAGAAGAAAGTAACTTTTTGCTGGTTCCAAGTAGATATCAGGCTCCTCAGCTGTGTGGGTGTAAATCTGCTGCTGGCTTCAGATCCTTTATGTACCCTAGCCTCAGCACTGCGGCCCTCCCACTGCGCTATTTAAGCTCCATGAGCTCAGCGTATGGCAGCCAGGTCAGGAATGCCCTGCTACTCATCAAAAAGCTAAAGACAGCTCATGGTTATAATCTGCTGGTGTGTGTGGCTGTGAAACGAAGATTTCCTATTTCTGGGGGATCCCCTAAGCACCCTGCTATTACCCACCTGTTTTCCTTCATTCCTAAGCAGTGACACAGCAAAGCAATTGGAGCGCCATTAGTTTACATGTATGAGAAACAGTCAGAGTAATGATAACAAGTTTAATGTCCAAATTGTCACCTTAAATTGACATATTAAAATCCTCTTACTTTATCAGACTTTGCTGAGGAAAAAATCAAAACTATGATAATAACAATTGTATTACAGACTTCTTACATGTATTTTTAGAAATCCAGAATGTTTATTTTAAATAGGAATAATATCGTTTCAGATATATGAAAGTGATACCCCAAAACACAAAAGGTGAAAGGTTAAAAGAGTCAATCTTTTTGTCTTTTTAGGGCATCTAGTATCCACCCTTAAGAGGGGGGTACTGTCATGACTCTGCACTTTTTGGTTCTGTTAAAGTTTTCTTTTTGAATACTTTTTATTCTTGTCTTTTTGTGTTTTTGTACTCGTGTTTTGTACTTGTAATAATTACATTTCATATATCTGCAATGTTCATTTTAGATAGGAAGAATTCTGTGTTAAGATGGAGTTCATTATTATGTTGAAAGTTCTACTATATATAAATATATATATGACTAGTTAGATTTGAATTTCAGATATCTAAATATTATTAATGCTTATAAAAACTGCACTTTTTATAGGCGTATCAATTAGAACATAAATTAATATATATATTAATATATTAATATATATATATATATATATTCTAATTGATACGCCTATAAAAAGTCCAGTTTTTATAAGCATTAATAATATTTAGAAAAGCAAGTCATTAAATACAAATACATGCACATTTAAAAACA